GAGGCCTCCAAAACGGCATCCAAGGGGACGCAACACGCGGTGGTGCGAAAAGCACGAAAACCTCGTAAAAACCATGGGTTTTTACGAAAAACCGAGGCCACAAAACACCCGCAGCACCCCACCAGGCCGAAACCATGTTTTTTTTCAAGGTTTGGGGGGGGTACCGGAAGCCCAAAACCAGGCGAGCATCATGAGCATCAGCAGCCCTGGCCCGCGGCCCCAAGGCAATAAAAAAAGCTGAAAACGCTGAAATCACCGTAAATACCGTGTTTTTATGAGGTTTTTCACGCGTGCCTCCGACCCCCACCCCTGTTGCCCTTGACCCGCCCCCAAAGTGCGCATCATCGAAACCCACGTCCGGGGGGGGGGTCTGCTGATGCTGCTGATGGGTCCACGTAAAAACGCCCCTAAAATCGCTCATTTTACGCGCTCGAACGGCTTCGTGCCTACAAAACACCCGAACAGCAGGACCCCGAATGCCCTTCAGGGCATTCGGGGTCTTGCTTTTGGGGGTTTGGTGGGCAGGCAAGCGTTCAAACACATACAATCGGCGTGTTTCAGGAGGTTTCGGATGGCCTGGATGAGGCCGCTGATGCTCATGATGCTCCCTTTCCTGGGTCCCAAAAGGCTTCCCAAGCCCAAAAACACGTGTTTACAGCATTTTCTGAAGGTTTTTCGAAGGGGCGGGGGCCGGCCCGTGCCGCTAGGCCTGAAATCCGGGCCCCGCGCCGCCCGTGGTCCAGGGCGGAGCCCGCGTCGCACTAAAGCGCTAGCTTTAAGGGGCGAGCGCCCGAGCCGCCGACCCCGCCCAAAATTGCTTCAAATTCGCGCGGGGCCCTTCGGGAGGCCTCCGAAACGGCATCCAAGGGGACGCAACACGCGGTGGTGCGAAAAGCACGAAAACCTCGTAAAAACCATGGGCTTTTACGAAAAACCGAGGCCACAAAACACCCGCAGCACCCCATTAAACCCTCACGGGCGCGCATCATCGACCCTAGCTTTTTACATGGGGCGCGGGCCAGGCCGAAACCATGTTTTTTTCAAGGTTTGGGGGGGGTACCGGAAGCCCAAAACCAGGCGAGCATCATGAGCATCAGCAGCCCTGGCCCGCGGACCCAAGGCAAGAAAAAACGCTGAAAAACGCTGAAATCACCGTAAATACCGTGTTTTTATGAGGGTTTTCACGCGTGCCTCCTACCCCCACCCTTGTTGCCCTTGACCCGCCCCCAAAGTGCGCATCATCGAAACCCACGTCGGGAGGGGGGTCTGCTGATGCTGCTGATGCGCGGGGTCCGGGTGCATCATCGAGCCATCGTTTCTCATGTGGGCTTCGTGGGCCTCCGGGCCCACGGCCCAGAGACCCAGCTGATGCTCATGATGCTCGGTTTGGGGGGGGTGTTCCAACAGCAGAAAACCTCGTAAATACCGAGTGTTTTGTGGTCCACGTAAAAACGCCCCTAAAATCGCTCATTTTACGCGCTCGAACGGCTTCGTGCCTATAAAACACCCGAACAGCAGGACCCCGAATGCGCTTAAGGGCATTCGGGGTCTTGCTTTTGGGGGTTTGGTGGGCACGCAAGCGTTCAAGCACAGATAATCGGCGTGTTTCAGGAGGTTTCGGATGGCCTGGGGGAGGCCGCTGATGCTCATGATGCTCTCCCTTCCTCGGTTCCAAAAGGCTTCCCAAGCTCAAAAACACGTGTTTACAGCGTTTTCTGAAGGTTTTTCGAAGGCAAAACGCATGCTTAGAATGTCTTTTGGGCTCCCAAACCAACCCCAATGATGCTCCTGATGCGGGTGCGCACGCGCGCGCGCGCGCGCGCACCCGCATCAGGAGCATCATTGGGGTTGGTTTGGGAGCCCAAAAGACATTCTAAGCATGAGGGGGGGGTGGGGGGGAGGGAGGGGGGGCGAAGGCAGGAGAAAGAGAGACAGAGAGAAGGAGACGAAGAATGAAAGAGAAAAAGAGACAAAGGCGAACAAGAGAAAGTGAGAAGATAGAGGAGAGAGATTCAAAAAAAAACAAAGAAGAGAGAGAGCGAGAGAGAGAGAGAGAGAGACAGACAGAGGAAGACTAACAGCAACAGAAAGAAAAGAAAAAAGAGAGAAGTGAAGGAGAAACAAAGAGAGGAAAAGAAACAGAGAAAGACCAACAGCAAGAGAAATAGAAAGAGAAAGAGAAAGAGAAAGAGAAAGAGAAAGAGAAAGAGAAAGAGAAAGAGAAAGAGAAAGAGAAAGAGAAAGAGAGAGAGAGAGACAGACAAAGAGAAGTAGAAGGAAAAAGATATTGAAGAGACAGAGAATAAAGAGAAAGAGAAACAAAAAAGATAAAGAGAAAGAGAAAATCAAAACAAGGAAGCAGAGGAGAATAAAGATAAAGAGAGACAAAAAGATAAAGAGAAAGAGGAAATAAAAACAAGGAAGCGCAGGGAAGTAAGAGGAGAAAGATAAAGACAGAGAAAAAGAAAAACAGGCAAGTAGAGAGAGGAAGAAACAAAGACAGAAAAAAACACGCGAGAGAGCGAGAGAGAGAGAGAGAGGAGAGCGAAAAAGACAAAGGACAAAGAAAAATGGAAAGAGAGCGAGAGGAGAGAGACAAAGACAAAGGACAAAGAAAACGGAAAGAGAAGACAGTGCCAAGGTTCAAGGTTTCGTGCTTTGGGGGGCGGGGGCCGGCCCGTGCCGCTAGGCCTGAAATAGGGGTTAGGGGTTAGGGGTTATTATTCACCAACTATGACTGTACTTACAACCGTGCTAAGAAAACCATCTTAAGGCACACAAAGGCGCCTATAAGTGGGATATAAAGTACAGCTACAATTGGGAAATAGCCCATTCTAGCTGTACTTATAGCCATATTAGGGCACTTAAGGGGCCTATAAGTGGGATATAAAGTGCAGCTATAATTGGTTAATAAGTATCCTGAACCTCCAAGTAAGTAACCCTAAACCCTAAACCCTAAACCCTAAACCCTAAACCCTAAACCCTAAACCCTAAACCCTAAACCCTGGGATATAACGTACAGATTTCATTGGTCAATAAGTACCCTGAACCTCCAAGTACACCTGCTAGCACCCAACGGTGGCCTGACGGCCATGCGGGCTCTCCTGACAGCGAGGGTTTAGGGGTTTGGGGTTTAGGGGTTTGGGGTTTAGGGGTTTGGGGTTTAGGGTTTAGGGTTTAGGGTTTAGGGTTTAGGGTTTAGGGTTTAGGGTTTAGGGTTTAGGGTTTAGGGTTTAGGGTTTGGGGTTTTAGGTTTAGGGCCTTTGGGTTGCTAGGGTTTTGGAGGGGGAGGGGAGGCGAGGTGGGGGGGGGGTGGGGCTTCGAATTCATCCAACAGCAAAGCAGGAGTCTGGACCCTTGCAAACCGCCCCACGCCTGCGCAAAACTCTGCCAGAGATTCTATAGCCACGACAAACCGAGGAATAAGAAGGGCACCCTATTTTTTGACAGGGGCTTATAAGCTTATAAGAGCGCCTAAACCCAAAAACCAAAAAGGGAAATAAGGGCAGGGCCGACTCTGGGCCCTAGGATGCTTCCACTGCTGAGCATCATTGCCGAGGCGTCTCGCGCTGGGGACTGAGTGCTCCAACGTCTGGTGCCCACAGGGAAACGTCTTGGTAGCCCAGCCACCGTATCATAATGAATAAGGGTACCCTTTTTGGGGGGGTTGGTCACTTTACAAGGGAACCTAGGACCAAAAAAGCACAGGGCTAGCAAGACGTGGACGTGCGCCACGCGTCTCCGAACTGGCTTCGATCCGGCCTTAGCTTGCGCAGCCGAGCCAGCCGAGGCTTCTTTTGGCCGCGTTTCGAGGGTTTAGGGTTTAGGGTTTGGGGTTTAGGGTTTGGGGTTTAGGGTTTGGGGTTTAGGGCTTGGGGTGCCTCCCCGCGTCCGGAACTTGCACCTGCCCTTGCCTCTTTGGTCAGCGATGGGCTTCTGCCGGCCGAAGCCCCCTCCCCTCAATTCACGATAAGCCTGCAACACAACCCTAAACCCTAAACCCTAAACCCTAAACCCTAAACCCTAAACCCTAAACCCTAAACCCTAAACCCTAAACCCTAAACCCTAAACCCTAAACCCTAAACCCTAAACCCTATACCCTAAACCCTAAACCCTAACCCTGAACTCTAAACCCGAAAACGCCTGAAACCCTAAAGCCCTAAGCCCCAAAAGCCCTACCCATAGCTCCTAAACTGAAGGCTTGAAATAACGCCAAGTAACCTAGCCCCCTGAGCCCGAAGAGCAACCCTCAAAGCCCACTTCTGCACGTCAAACGCCCTTCAAGTGGGTTGTTGTCAAAATGCTTGTTCCCGAAATTGACGTTAAATCGGAACTCCCTCGGTGCCGCCTTATGTCCTGAAGGAAAAGAAGCTGATTGAGATGGAGTAGCAAACGCGACATTTGAAGGATCCAAGCATGATTTCCTAGAAAGGTTGCTAGCGCGGACCATTTTTCAGACGCTGCTGTCGGACGAGTCGTCACAAGAACTGCTAGTGTTGCTGCTACATACTGCTACTGCTGGAATTCTGGCGCGAGCGAAGGTTTCTCCGCTGTCGCCACTTGCGGGGCTCGAGCTCCAGCAAGCATAGCGCTCTCGGTTCTATGGTGTTCCTTTGTGGTCTGCTAGAGGAGGAATAGGCCATGGTCTGCCGGGGAAGGTTGCGTTGACATTTTGCTAGCGCGGTGCTAGCGCGGCGCTAGCGCAAAACACTGCCGGATTTTCCTAGATCTGATACTACGTCGTGATGAACGACGAAAACAAGCCAGGAGCAGCAAATGTACCAAGTATAACAAGAAATCGTTTCTTTCTTGTCATCGTTTTTCCTAGAAGAACCTCTATCCTGGCAACAGGGGCCCCGTCAATTCATAACGAAGAGGCGCGGGGGTTGTTGCACCACCCTGGATGTTGTACGCATATTTCGGGTGGTGCGCCTGGCTGGGCCTTCTCAATGAATCTGCTTAGTGGTGACATGCGAAATTTGAAATAATGTCTGTTGATTTTACCTAGCGCGAACCTAGCGTTTTCCTAGCGCCACACTGGGGTTTCAGGGGATCCCCCTCGGTGCCGCCTTTTAGCAAAGACATGAAAATAGACCGGCCAAACCAATTAATGTAAATTAAAGTAACTGAGCAGACACGCGAATTTGAACGCAACCCAAGTAGAAACACCAGACATGAAGCCCCTAGACCCGAATCCCTAAACCCTAAAACCCCAGAAACCCTCAACCCCGAACCCCCCAAACCCTAAACCCTAACCCTAAACCCTAAACCCTAAACCCTAAACCCTAAACCCTAAACCCCAAGCCTCGTTGTGCTCAATTGCGGCACTTGCCGAGGGAAGATGAGATCTCCGGCAACAAGGTCGTTTCGAAGCTCTGCCTGTTGACGAACCTGTGCTTGGGGTTTAGGGTTTAGGGTTTAGGGTTTAGGGTTTAGGGTTTAGGGTTTAGGGTTTAGGGTTTAGGGTTTAGGGTTTAGGGTTTAGGGTTTAGGGTTTTAGTGTTTAGGGTTTAGGGTTTAGGGTTTAGGGTTTAGGGTTTAGGGTTTAGGGTTTAGGGTTTAGGGTTTAGGGTTTAAGGTTAGGGTTTAGGGTTTAGGGTTTAGGGTTTAGGGTTTAGGGTTTAGGGTTTAGGGTTTAGGGTTTAGGGTTTAGGGTTTAGGGTTTAGGGTTTAGGGTTTAGTGTTTAGGATTTAGGGTTTAGGGTTAATTAGGGTTGATTAGGGTTAATTAGGGTTCGCGTTTTCAGCGCCTAAGGATGCAAGGCCCTCAGAGTTCGAGGCTTATGCTCCCACACAAAACAAGCGAAGGGCTTTCAAGCGAACGCAAGAGTCTAAACAGCGAAGGCAAAAATCCCAACCACAAGTCTTAGCAAAACCTCTGAACCCCAAGCCCTAAACCCTAAACCCTAAACCCTAAACCCTAAACCCTAAACCCTAAACCCTAAACCCTAAACCCAGCCTCAATAAACCCTGATTTCCCAACCCTGCGCTCCCCTAAATCCCACCCTCCCTCCGGCAAACCCTGGAAGCCTTGGCCATCCGAATGTGCACCGTGTCCTGGCGTTCACAAGAGAAGCTTGACCCCTAAACCCTAAACCCTAAACCCTAAACCCTAAACCCTAAACCCTGGGGCTTCTGGGTTTGGGGTTTAAGGGGGGTTTAGCGGGTTAGGGGGGTTAAGGGGTTTAGGGGGGTTAAGAGGTTTGGGGGGCTTAGGTCGCTTTGGGGGCTTAGGGGCTTTGGGGGCATAGGGCTTTGGGGCTTAGGGGGCTTAGGGGGTTTCTGGGTTTGAGGGTTTGGGGTTGCTTTCTTCGACTGTGCTAAGGCGGTAGAGAGCTTCTTGCAGCCAGTGGTTAACCCTAAACCCTAAACCCTAAGCCCTAAACCCTAAACCCCAAAAAGGGAAGACACACGCTCCCACATTGTCCCGGCAGGGTTGCATTTAGGGGGGCATATCAGGGTTCCCCAACTCCTGTCTGAGATACTGTAGGTGAACCCTAAGTCTGCGTACCCTAAACCCTAAACCCTAAACCCTAAACCCGCTCCTTGTCCGTTTTGAAGCCGTGCTTTGCAATGGGGTTTGAGTCATCCGTCTCGTCTGAGAGAGCCATGCTCGAGCTTTTGAGACAGTTCACCTGGCACATCATGAGAGGGTTTAGGGTTTAGGGTTTGGGGTTTTAGGGTTTAGGGCTTAGGGTTTAGGGTTTAGGGTTTAGGGTTTAGGGTTTAGGGTTTAGGGTTTAGGGTTTAGGGTTTAGGGTTTAGGGTTTAGGGTTTAGGTTAGTCCCTTTGAAGGGGGGGAGGGGGGGGGGGGTGGAGTTCTAGCAGGAGCTGTAGCATGAAAGGCAACTCGGAAACACCAAAATCAGCCGAACCCTAAACCCCGGTGAGGGATTCACTGCTTGGGGCTTGCGGGATTAAAGCCCCCAAGGTCCGGCGCCCACAAGCTGCAGACGACACAGCAACCTGTTGCAGGTGGGACCCCGCCCCCGCTAGGGGCCCCACGCCCCCTACACCCTAGACCTCTAAGCCCCTAAACCCCTAAACCCCCAAACCCCCAAAAACCCTGAACCCCTAAACCCCCCACACCAACCTCTAAACCCCAAACCCCTTACCCCCTACACCCCTAAATTTACCTTCCGTAGGGCTCTTGGGTGCACCAAGAGTTGAAGCCCAGCGCGCCGAATCCTAAACCCTAAACCCTAAACCCTAAACCCGAAACCCTAAACCCTAAACCCTAAACCCCAAACCCCAAACCCCAAAGAAAGACCGGGAGCCTCTCCGAAGTCGTCCGCCCGGATGTAGAGGTGCCCGCCCTGCACGCGCTTCTCCGGCTTCCAGTCCTGCGGAGATCAGGGCTTAGGGTTTAGGATTTGGGGTTTAGGGTTTAGGGTTTAGGGTTTAGGGGTTTAGGGTTTAGGGTTTAGGGTTTAGGATTTAGGGTTTTGGGTTGAGGGGTTTGGGGTTTAGGGTTTGGGGTTTAGGGTTTTAGGGGGAGAAGATCCCTGACATTTGGGAATAATTTTTCTCGATCTTCTCGGGATGCCTATGGCATTTAGGGGGGCAGATTCTCCAAAAAGGGGACAAAGGAGGAATCCAGCCTGTGTCCCACACCTTTGGCTACCTATTAGGGTTGAGGGTTGAGGGGTTTAGGGCTCAGGGTTTGGGGTTTAGGGTTTAGGGTTGAGGGTTGAGGGTCCGAGTAGTGTTTAAGGTATGCTGGCAAAAGGGGGTATGCCTTGACTTCCCTCTAAACCCTAAACTTTAAACCCTAAACCCTGAACCTTTAACAGGTACGCTGCTGAGCTCAGCAGCCCCAATCCCTCAAGCGCACCTCTGCCTCCTGGCTGCGTGGCGTCGAGGCATCCGACATCTCCGAGGTCATATCTGCGCAGGCTTCGGGTTTAGGGTTTACGGTTTACGGTTAAGGGTCTAGGTTTTAGGGTTTGGTTTAGGGTTTAGGGTTTTGGGGCTTAAGGTCTAGGATGTTTCTTGTGCCGGGGGGGGGGGGGGGGTGTAGGGCCCTACGCGTGCGAACTAAGGCCCCAGCCGGAAAAATTCGAAAGCCCTTGCACCTCTCACCCCGAGGAGGCCCCCCTAAACCCTAAACCCTAAACCTTCGAGGTTAGGGTTTAGGGTTCATGGTTCAGGGTTCAGGGTTTGGGTTTAGGGCCCACTCTGGGCCCAAGAAGCCCTACACCCCGCAAGCAGCCACTTCTTCCCGGGCCTGTTTTCACCGTGGCGGAGGAGTCCTCGGACTTGCGCCACCGGGAGGAGAAGAATCGCAGCATCGAGCGAGACTCCTCCGTCTTCCTGCGGATGAAGCAGTGCAGGGCTTTAGGGTTTAGGGTTTAGGGTTTAGGGTTTAGGGTGTAGGGTTTAGGGTTTAGGGTTTAGGGTTTAGGGTTTAGGGTTTAGGGTTTAGGGTTTAGGGTTTAGGGTTTAGGGCTTGGGAGTTTAGGATTTCGGGTTTAGGGAAAGAGGCCCCAAACCCCCAAACCCCCGAACGACAGGGAAAACGCCCCAAATCCTAAGGACGAAGGGCCCTAAGCCCGTGTTGTTAAGCCCTGAACCCTAAACCCTGAATCAAGGGCCAACCAACCGACAACTCCCTCAATCCGAAGGGTTGAGGTGACAAGCTCTTGACAGAATAAGGGCTTAGGGCCCGAGAAAGCCCCTGGTTTGAACCCACAGCCGCTCAATACTGAAACCCTAAACCCTAAACCCTGAACCCTAAACCCTAAACCCTAAACCCTAAACCCTAAACCCTAAACCCTAAACCCTAACCCTCAACCCTTGCAAGGCGCCAGCAACTCTTTACGCAAGGGGCTTTAAGAACAACAAACAGGGGGGGGTGTTCAGGGCCTAGGGGGTAAGACTTGGTTCCGGTACGGGTAGTTTCCTTCTTCATCCCAAAAAAGGGACCCAAATTTAGAGAGCTACCCTAGGCTGGAAGCTTGGGGTCTCCAGACCCTGAACCCTAGGGTTTAGGGTTTAGGGTTTAGGGCTTAGGGCTTAGGGCTTAGGGCTTAGGGCTTAGGGCTTAGGGTTTAGGGTTTAGGGTTTAGGGTTTAGGGTTCAGCATCTCCAGTTCAAGCATTCACTAGTCAAGCTCGCTACTCTGGTATCGAATATATACCCACCCACCCTTTGGATCCCATAACATTAGAAAAAAAATTTGGTTTGTAACGGACCCAAAACCCGAAATTTAATCTAAGGCCCACAATAGGCCCTTTATGCTCTTAGGGCCCTAAACCCTACGGTTTAGAAGCCCCTGTCGGTGAAGGCTCGTTTTGCCTTTAAAATTGAAAAATACGACCCCCCCTTGACCAAAATTAGGCTGTGAAAAGGTCGCGGGGGCGGCCCTTCATCAGAATCGAGTTAAAAACCTTGAAATATCATTGAAAAACCTTGAAAAACACTGGAAAACTCTGAAAAACCCTGAAAAACCTTGAAAAAACTCGGGGAAAATGAAAATCACCATTGCCACTTTTGAGGCCGAAAATCACCGTTGCCCACTTTTGAATTAGGGTTTAAGGCCGAAAATCACCGTTGCCCACTTTTGAATTAGGGTTTAAACTCATTATGATAGAGAGGTTTAGGGTTTAGGTTTCACCTTCACCCACCGCGCAGACGGCTCCTGGTGAGGACGTTTCCGTGGAAGCCAACCATGCAGTTGGGCCTGGATTTAGGGAGGTTTAGGGTTTAGGGTTTCGGGTGTAGGATTTAGGGTTTCGAGTTTAGGGTTTAGGGCTAGCCAAGATCATTTTCAGCCCTTGAGCCCCCTGAGAACAAAAGCTCACATGCCAATGTTATGCTCAACCAGGTTTATGGGGTTTGGATTTAAGGGTTTAGGGTTTAGGGTTTAGGGTTTAGGGTTTAGGGTTTAGGGTTTAGGGTTTAGGGTTTAGGGTTTAGGGTTTAGGGTTTAGGGTTTAGGGTTTAGGGTTTAGGGTTTAGGGTTTAGGGTTTAGGGTTTAGGGTGCCAAATCATCAAAAAACAACCACCAAACATAAGGTCAGAAATACATAGCCTCAAACCCTAAAACCCCAAATAATAATTTTAAAAAACATCCTTCTGGGATTCCAACAAAAGCGGAGCCCTGCATCAAAACCGCAACGGCAAACCGCCATAAACCGCAGAATCCCCAAACCAAAACACCAACCCCAAGCACCAACCCTAAACCCCTAAACCCCAGTCTTCCCCGCATGGTCATTTCCCAAAGTAGTGGTACCCCTTCTACGCCTCAAAATAGCGTGATCCTGAATGTAGGAGGCCCAAAAAAAGGTGAAGAAGCCCCTAAACCCTCTGAAAACCTTAAAGCGTAAACTCTAAACCCTAAGACCCTAAACCTTCAATCCTTCAAGCCTCACCCTAAAACCCTAAACCCTGAACCTTCAACCCTTCAACCCTTCAACCCTTCAACCCTTCAACCCTTCAACCCTTCAACCCTTCAACCCTTCAACCCTTCAACCCTTCAACCCTTCAACCCTTCAACCCTTCAACCCTTCAACCCTTCAACCCTTCAACCCTTCAACCCTTCAACCATTCAACCCTTCAACCCTTCAACCCTTCAACCCTTCAACCCTTCAACCATTCAACCCTTCAACCCTTCAACCCTTCAACCCTTCAACCCTTCAACCCTTCACCCTTCAACCCTTCAACCCTTCAACCCTTCAACCCTTCAACCCTTCAACCCTTCAAACCCTTCAACCCTTCAACCCTTCAACCCTTCAACCCTTCAACCCTTCAACCCTTCAAACCCTTCAACCCTTCAACCCAACCCTTCAACCCTTCAACCCTTCAACCCTTCAACCTTCATCAACCCTTCAACCCTTCAACCCTTCAACCCTTCAACCCTTCAACCCTTCAACCCTTCAACCCTTCAACCCTCACACCCTACCCTAACCCCAAGCCCTGGACCTTAAACCCTAAGCCCTAAACTCAACCCTAAACCCTAAACCCTAAAACCCTAAAACCCTAAAACCCTAAAACCCTAAACCCCTAAACCCTAAACCCTAAACCCTAAACCCTGAACCCCCCCATCTAGGCCCCGGGCCGAAGCGGAGACGGGTTGCCGGCGCCGCCGATTGGCAGGTTCAGGCCTAGGCTTCTCAGGGCTTGATGGGCGCTGCCTCAAGGGTTTAGGGTTTAGGGTTTGGGGTTTAGGGTTAGGGTTTAGGGTTTGGGGTTTAGGATTTGCTGTTTAGGGTTTAGGGTTTAGGGTTTAGGGCTTAGGGTTTAGGGTTTAGGGTTTAGGGTTTAGGGTTTAGGGTTTAGGGTTGTTAGGGTTTAGGGTTAGGGTTTAGGGTTTAGGGTTTAGGGTTTAGGGTTTAGGGTTTAGGGTTTAGGGTTTAGGGTTTAGGGTGTAGGGTTTAGGGTTTAGGGTTTAGGGTTTAGGGTTTAGGGTTTAGGGTTTAGGGTTTAGGGTTTAGGGTTTAGGGTTTAGGGTCAAGAGTTCTGGGTTTTGGGGCTGGTTCTCTTGTGTGCGTGTGTATGTCTATTGCTTTTGGGAGAGGAGGGTTGGGGGACTTACAGGGTCGATGCGGTTTGGTTGCCATCTTTGTCTGCCTTTTTGGGGGATTCCGGTTTTGGGAACCCTAAACCCTAAACCCCCAACCCTGAACCCTAAACACCCTAAACCCTAAACCCACTGCGTCTAGGCCTCCGGCCCATATGCCTCCCCATGATTCCGGCCAGCAGGTCGCCATACGGGGTCCTGGCATGCACGGCGCGTTCTTGGTACTCTATATTTTTCCGGGTTCCGATGGGGGGGGGTTAGGGTTTGGGGTTTAGGGGTTGAGGGTTTAGGGTTTAGGGTTTAGGGCTTCAGGGTTTCAGGGTGTAGATTTTAGGGTAAGATAGGGTTCAGGACACTCCATGGACTGAGGGTTCAGGGCTTCAGGGTTTCAAGGTTGAAGATTTAAGGTGATATAGGGTTCAGGATTCAGGGTTTTTGAATTTAAGGGTTTAAGGGTTAGGGGTTTCGGGCTGAGGCGTGTGTTTCGCACACTACACACCCACCCCAATGTCTTACTAAAATTCTAGATCACGGGGAAGCAGGTGTTGACCTAGAACTTGCACCCTAACTGAACATCACAAAAATCCCACACCATCTCAACCTCAACTCGCGCAGGGTGGGCTTCTTCTCGATGACCTGACCCGTCTCGGTGATCTCCACCGAGTGGGTGGCGGCGATTCGCTTCCTTGGCCGCCGGCCCAAGGCCCAAAAACCGCAAAACCCGCGACCCCAGGACCGCTGGAGCCCAGAAACCCCTGAAATCATCAACCCGAAACCCCAGAGGCCCGAACACAAGAAACCTGTAACCCCAAACCCCGCAACCCCCCCTGCCCCCTCCCATCCCTAAACCCTCAACCCCACCGAACCCTAAACCCCGAACCCCAAACCCCAAACCCTAAGCCCCCAACCCGAAACCACAAACCCCAAACCCTGGGACCCTTGAGGCGCTGTCCTCAAGGGCATGGGGCAGCCGCTCTCCTCCGCCCGCGCGCCGGCGCGTGCGTCGGAAGGGTTTTTGGGTCTAGGGCTTTGGGGGGTTTGGGTGGGCTCAGGGGGGGGGTTTAGGGTTTAGGGTTTAGGGTTTAGGGTTTAGGGTTTAGGGTTTAGGGTTTAGGGTTTAGGGTTTAGGGTTTAGGGTTTAGGGTTTAGGTTTTATGGTTTAGGGTTTAGGGTTTAGGGTTTAGGGTTTAGGGTTTAGGGTTTAGGGTTTAGGGTTTAGGGTTTAGGGTTTAGGGTTTAGGGTTTAGGGTTTAGGGTTTAGGGTTTAGGGTTTAGGGTTTAGGGTTTAGGGTTTATGGCTCAGGGGTTTTGGGGGGGGGCTGTGGGGGTTCAGGCTCAGAGGGCTTCTGGGGGGCTCGGGGGTCCTCGGATTTGTGGGCTTCTGGGCGTTGGAGTGTGGAGTTGACAGTTCAAGGGTAGGGCTTCGGGTTCAGGGTTCAGGGTTCAGGGTTCAGGGTTCAGGGTTTAGGGTTTAGGGTTTAGGGTTTAGGGTTTAGGGTTTAGGGTTTAGGGTTTAGGGTTTGGGGTTTAGGTTTGGGGTCTAGGGTTGAGGGTCTAGGGTGTAGGGTCGAGGGGGTTGAGGGTCTAGAAGGTTTAGGGTGGCATTTGGTGAGAGGTAGGCCAGGGAGCAAAACGAGGGCAGAAGCACCCTTAGAATCCCTGCAAATGCCCTGATCCCTTTGCACGCGAAACAACAAAACCCTCTCAACCCTAAATCCTAAAATAAACCCGTTGAAGCCCTATACCCCCGAAACCCTGAGACTACACAATGCAGCTGAAGAGGCTTAATGTTGCACGTGTTAGGTGTGTCGGGTTAAGCTTAAGGGTTTTAAGGCTTTACGATTTGAGGTTTTTGTTTTTAGGGTTTTAGGGTTTTACGGTCTTTCGGCTGAACCTTCAAGAACCCCTGCGGCCCTGAACGCTGAACCCCAAACTTGCCCAAACCTATGATCGCCCCTCACCGGCTCCTTCCAGTCGATACTGTGGGGATCGCCCGTCAGGAGGAAGTTCCTCGTGGCCCGGCCATCTCTTCGGAATTCAGAGTTTAAAGGCTCGAGCTGCGAGGGCTCAAACCTGAACCCCAAAACCCTGAACCCGACACCCTACCCTTGAATTGAAGGTTGCCAATATCAACATATTCTGAAGGTGTCGGCGGACTCTGGAAAAAACCCTACCAAGCTGAGCCCAGCGCAGGAAATCGGTGGTGTCAACGTCCTGTCCGGGGCGCTAAGTCTCCGTGATCTTCCAAAGCAGAAAAAAACTAAGGGTTTACGGCATGGGTCCCCACATAAACCTGTAAGAACTACATGATCCAAAGTTTAGGGCTTGGCGTTCCTGAGTTCTCAGATCATCCAGGGATTCTTCTCATGGTCGAATTGGGTCCTCCGCTCCGGCGGTTCGATGCCTAAATACCTGCACAGTTCTGGAGCCTCAGCCGCCCAAACCAAGGGCACAGGGTTGAGGGCGTGTAGGGGGTTATCCCTAAACCCTAAACCCTAAACCCTAAACCCTAAACCCTAAACCCTAAACCCTAAACCCTAAACCCTAAACCCTAAACCCTAAACCCTAAGCCTAAACCCTGAACTGCTGAAAACAGAGCCTAAGGTTCAGGGCTTGGGCTTGCGGCAGCCTCTGCTCCCGACAAAAGAGCAGGGGTTCCCAGGAGCCTAGGGTTCTGCTTGATATACTTCACAAGGGAACCGGGTCTCGGGAGAAGTAGGGTTTCAGGTTTAGGGTTTAGGGTTTAGGGTGAGTACGGTAGCGCTGGTGATAAAGCTATAACCTTGCTCAGGGTACTTATTGCCCTACGCAGATGTACCCGTGAACCTCCAAGTCGGGCTGGAAAGAACCAAAATCCCTAACCCCTACTGCCCTCAAAACTGACACCCCCACGAAGCTCTAAGCCCCCACCTCTAAACCCCAAACCTAACATAGGATGGCCATGAAAACCGTCTGAGGTGGTGAGGTGAGGTGAGGATCGACCGAGGCACGAGCCTGGCCTAACAAAAGGGCGGCCCCTCCGGCACAAGGCTTAAGAGGCCAGCCCCAACAACACACGACACGACAACCACAAAACAAAAAGGAACAGCAACGCGAAACGAACGAGACAACGCAACGCTCTGCGGACCTCCATGGCGAGCTAATTTGCCCTCGCCCTGACCACCCAAAGGCTCACGTCCTTTACCGCTTCTACCTGCGCGAGCATCTCGATGAGGACCCTGTGAAGCTGCAGCAGAAAAACGAGGCGAAACCACGCGGGTAGAGGCCGGATGAACCAGGCGTCGACGGTGCTGGAGGGGGGCTTGATCCCCGCTCGCACTCAATAACCACTGATTCACTTCGCGACCTTACTTGGCTGACATTTCCTTCCCAATCCATGAGTCTTGAATTGTACACCACGTGCTTCCCAATATCCAGCTTCTCTGCCTTGTGATGTTGTCCTCGAGTCTGCGCCCACGCAGCATACCAACGCGAGCACCGCTCGCACCGCTACCGCGTAGCGTACGCACTGCGAGCACCGCCCGCACTTCTACCACGCCGCCCACGGTCGTCACGTAAACTGCTATCCCCACGGCTCCGGCACCGCCGGTGTCTGCGGCCAGTGCGAGAGCGTCGGCGCCCGGGGTAGACCCTACCCCCGCCTTGCTCACGTCTCCCATCCCATCCCAAACTGCCACCATCCGTCTGTGCAACTGCCGGGTCCGCATCGCCCTGCTGCCAAAAAGTAGGCTCCGAGCTCCGAAACATAGTTGAATTCGAAAAGGGGCCCCACGGCCTGTTATTTCCAAGTATCGCAGAAAAAGTGAATCCTCTCCAGAAATAGACCTCCAGATGCTCAAAGACTGCAACGACCCCCAACCCACGATTGAGTTGCACCCAAAGTCCAAGGAATGCACACATAACATCATACACCGAGGCACTGTCGCACTAGCGCCACAGAGGGGGGAAGAAGGGGGTGCTCGTCGAACCCTCAACCTGAGGATCTTAGTGCCGCCCCGGAGGTCCACCCAACTTCCAACTCCAGCCCCTCCGCAAGCCAGCGCTAGTCTCCGGGGGAAAACCGTCTGAAAAAAGTCCTAGACATGATCCTCTTAAACCCAATGCGTAAGAAAACCGTAAACCCTAAACCCGAAACCCTCAGCCCTAAACCCAAAACCCTTAGCCCTAAACCCAAAACCCTGAACCCTAAACCCTAAGCCCTGCCTACCTAGCAAACCATCCAAACGTCCGCCTCCAGGCGAATCAGGACCCGAGAGCCGTGGCCCAACACCGACGCCTGGGATCCCAACAGGTCCGGAATTGGGGTTCAGGCTTGAGGGTTTAGGGTTTTGGGTTTAGGGTTTACGGTTTCGGGCTTCGGGCTTCGGGATTCGGGCTTAGGGCTTGGGGGTTATAAGCAGCGTATCCATGGTTATACCCTACATACAAGTACCAGTGAACCTCCAAGCAGGGTTGAACGCTTTAGGGCTCTCAGCGTTTCGGGTTTTAGGGGTTCAGATTGTGTTTGGGTTTCTCAAGCTGAATTATGGTTTGGGGAGGGGGGGAGGGTGGGAGGCAAGGGGGAGGGGGGGGGGGAGGGTGTAGGGCTTTGAGGTTTGAGCTACGGGTTCGGGCTTCAGAGCTTCAGGATTTTCAGGAGTAGGGGCGAAAGAGGGCTTGAGGGCTTGAGGGTCTAGGGAGAGGGCTGGGGTGAGAATTTTGGGGGCACCGCTTGCGGTCGTTGCCTAGAGGGTACCGGCACTTGCTTACTCAGCCTCTTTGACCGACAGCCTAAACCCCCAAAAGCCAAACTGAAGTTCATTAGAAAGTCTTTCCTACGTGGTTCTTTCCGTGCGAAATTCCCCTCCCCAAACAAACAACTCTGGATGCTACAAGAGACTATGAAGGGCCCATGTCCAATACAACCCAACCTTGACACCCTGTAAACCTTAACCCCGGAAGCCTGAACCCTAAACCCTAAACCCTAAATGACCCCTCTGAACGCATGCAAAGCCCCGGAACCCCGACCAAAACTACTGTTTGCTTAAGAATCGCCACAATTCGAAGATAGCACTCCTTGAATTTCCCTTAGAAGGAAGAACTTTTTGATGGTTTCGGGGTGTGCTTAAGCAATAGTAGAAAAACTTCCAGAACCACTTATTTTGCAGGCGCTTGATCTAAACCCTGACAAGCTCGTTCAAAACTAGCGATACGGGAAAGTCTTAAGCCCCCAAGCCCTGAGATTTCAGCGTTCGGGGGTTAGGGCTTAGGGTAAGCCCAAACGTTTGGGGTTTCGGGTTAGGATTTAGGCTTTAGGGTTTAGGATTTAGGGTTTAGGGTTTAGGGTTTAGGGTTTCGGGTTTAGGGTTTAGGGTTTAGGGCTTAGGGTTTAGGGTTTAGGGGTTGGGGTAAGCCCTAAACTTGTTTTTTAAAGGGAGAGGCTCCGAGGATCGGACAATGGGGTATGGCCAGGGGTCGCCGAGCCCCTCCGCATTTCCCACCTGTGTGGGCAACTTGGGTTGCAAGTTTAGGGTTTGGGGTTTTGGGAGGGCGAAACCCTAACCCGAAACAATAAACCCTCAACCCGTGGCTGCGAGCGCCAGAAACCTGACGCATTGCGACGGAGCCCACACGCGTTGAAAGCAACGGCCAAGTCTGGGAAATGCTCCGCGGGCACTCAGCACATGATGAGGTTGCTTGCAGGTTCATGGGTGCCTATAAGTTGGGTGATAAGTGGGGTAACTATGGCTATCACCTTCATTAGGACACTTATCTCCCTACTTACAAATACCCATGTGAACCTCCCAGTAGGACCCTACTCATAACAAGTACCCCACCCGCGGGCTCGTGGCTGGATGGGGTTTCTTTGGCCGCAGAGGGGGGGGGCGGGGGAGGAGGGCCATGTGAAGCGTTTCAGCGTTTTCGGGTTTGGAGTTCAGGGGAGGGAAGGGCAGGCTCCTCTAGTCGACAGGTTCGAGGACTCGCCACCCCTAAAGCCCTAGTTTTATCGCCGATGAAAACAGACCCGCCGGCCCCCCGGAGTCCTCGTTTTGAACAGCCCCCCTTCGAGGCATCTAAAATCCTAAACCCTAAACCCCGAAACAGAGGACAAAATAGAGGTAACCCTAAACCCTAAACCCTAAACCCTAAACATTCAACCCTAAACCCTGAAGAGATCGATCCATACCCTTTTCACAACTTGGGGAGCACATCTAATTTCGGATGCCCAGGCAAGGCTGCCACCAAGGGCCTATGTGGCCCTTAGGAGTGCTTAGGCCCAGGGATTAGGGTTTAGGGTATAGGGTTTAGGGTATAGGGTTTAGGGTTCAGGGTTTAGGGTTCAGGGTTCAGGGTTTAGGGTTCAGGGTTCAGGGTTTAGGGTTTAGGGTTTAGGATTAGGGGTTTAGGGTTAGGATTTGGGGGTTCGGCTTTAGAAACAGAATTGACAAAAGAAGGCCTCGCTGTAGTAGACCCCGCAGAAGGTGTAGCAGATGAGGAGGCGCTTGAGGAACATGACCCGCGGACTGAGAAACGGCGTCAGGTGAGCTGCTTTCTTTGGGGTTTAGGGTTTATGCGTGTAGGGCTTAAGGGGGTGCAGGAGTTTAAGGGTTTAAGGGTTAAAGGGTTTAGGGGTTTAAGGGTTAGGGGTTGAGGGCTTAGGGTTGAGGATGGAAGAGGGTCGAACAAACTTAGGTTAAACTGCCAAACCCCCCACGGCCACACAGCGGATGTAAGGGAGACGCAGAGGAGCCTCCGCAATTGCTGTCGTGATTTCGGGTCTTGGGCGGTTTGACCGAACCCAACACCCCTTGAACTATGCCTGCGTGCCGGGTCCTAAACCCTAAACCCTAAACCCTAAACCCCGCACCCGGCCTGTAGTCATCGATGAAGATATCCTGACTTCCAGCAAGGTTCGGCATGTCCTCGGCCCAACGCAATAGGGGTTTAGGGTTTAGGGTTCAGGGCTTGGGGTTTAGGGGTTTCGGGTTTAGGGTTTAGGGCTTAGGGTTTACGGCTTATTTGTCGGGGAT